ACTTTAACACAAATATAAGTCTATTTATCATGAGTTAAGGTTAAAACTATATTATTTACTAACTATTAACTCATGATAATGAAGACTTATCACTAGGGCGCATATTACATAGCTTAATTCTTAGGTCTGCATAGTAAGGGAAGACTCTTCATTATATTTAGTATGCTCTCAAGAGGTGGTGACTCGTCTCCTAGTAAACTATCCTCTTCTTGACGATGACTTGTTTGTTGATCAATCAAAGATAACTTACTTGATGAATTTACATTCTTTTTATTTAAAATTGTTAAGTAATTTTAGTAATGATACTTTGTGAATTATAGTGACAATATTTTTGTTGATGATTGAGTAATTTTGTTAGCTTAATCATTCACAAGTAATCTATAGGAAAATCACATTTAATTTGATAAAAATATATGTTTTGGCTCTTATAGAATTTGAACCCTCACCAATCATCTGCCTATATGAGAGAGAGTAACATAAATATGCAAATACCCTTATCAAGTGACATCATAAGTGACGTCTTTCTTTTCCCAACCCACATCAAATTCTTTGGGACAACTCACTTCTTTAGAGTTTATCTGGGTTTTTAACTTAATTTTTTATGATCATTTTCATAATTGTTTTTTGCATAATTTTAAGTTCTCGGTAGCATTAGATTGAGGACTATGAACTTCTAAGATGTTCATCTAGGTTTTTCATTTATTTCTTAAATAATTTACCTAAAATATATTATGTGTCTTAAAATTTGTATTGCCAGGAGATCTCATAGAACATTATATCCATCACTCATATGAAGTTTGGAGCATATAAATTTCTCTTTTTCTATATATTTTTCTAGTGTGAAATAGGCAACCATAGAGATCTCCAAGAGCTCCCTATTGATCCCTAACCTGATTTGAAATAACAACAAATATAGTTCAAGAGAGTGTTTTCCTATTCTACTTCTTAGGAGGATTCTTGTTGCTATTTATGATATGTCAATAGAGATGTGGCACCTGTTGACCCTCTTACTTGGGTCTAACCAACTGAGTCAACCAATCTAGGCCTTTATTTGGGGCTTGGCTGGTTTGGATTGGATCGAGAGTAAATTTGGTTTGATGATTCAAGTATTATCTTGTAGGAAGCGGAAGGCAAAGCGAAATCAAGCTTGATTTGATAAATTTGATTATGCTTGTTTTACCTTTATTATTTTTTTCTTTGCATGATAAAAATTTGGTAAATTTCCTATTCATATTATTTTAGTTCTTAATTATATAGGAATAATATTCAAACGATCATAAAATTTGATCTCATGAAAGGATGGTGCATGTGTGCTGATAATTATAAATTAGTAGTTACATCTATACATCAATATCATATATATAGATGTTAATTAATAGGTAGATAATATAATTATACATGTGTTACCGACTCATTATGACATTCATAATATTTTATAACTTAAGTCTTAATACATATTATTTTATTTATATTATGAGATTAACCTCACTTGACTTTTATAAAGTCAAGTGATGATTCTCTCATATTTTCTTGATAATTATTTGATTGTAAGGACTTAGGTGAACTCTTATTATGAGTCAGAAGTAATGGAAGAAACCCAAGTCTTCAGCCCAAGAAAAAGCCTAAGTCTTATGGAGAAGGCCGATCTAATATGTTTATGGGCCCAAGAAAGTGCATTTCCTTGGCCTAGCCCATTAAGACTTAAAAGAGTTATCAAGAGATGAGATCTAGGTCACCCATCTTAAGGTGCCTTAAGATGAGATTAAGAAAAGTATTAGAGCATTACTCTCATAAAAGAATATAGGTCATCTAATAAGAGAGTCAATTATTAATCATAATTGTCTATTGGAGTAGCCTAATTCTCGACACAATTAAGGCATCTTGCCCCCCTCTTGGTGGGTGCTTTTTGGCTCTCTCTCTAATAGTGGCTAATTGAAGGAAAAAAGAAAAAGGCCGGGTCAATGGCATTTTTGTGCCTAAGATCGACATGGAGAAAATACTACCTAGAGCGCATCAACATCGTCGCGAATTAAGCACTACTCTGCCTAGGACTGATGCATAATGAGGTATGTGCAAGATGTAGATTTGGGGTGTTCTTGTAATATTCTCCATAGATAGATTAACTCTTAGTTCAAACTAGTTTTACTATTTATTCTATCATTTCATTGCATTAGATCCATTCTCTCTCCTTTGTCACACTTTTCATTTCTCTTGTCTTTACCCTTGTTAGAGTAATTTTACTTTTTACAATCTCAAGTATATATATATATACTAAATTAAAAAAAATCTTACTTTTATTACCCATGTTCCTTAAAGATTGACCTTACTTATCTTAAATAGAAGAGTGAGATTTTATAAATATTATTTATATGAACTTAGTTGCATCATGATGATATATTTAACCTCTAAATCGAGTTCATCATGTGCCTCTTTTGACTTGGTGAAATAGTGAAACACCTCTTTGACACCAACTATCATGTGATGCCTAATATGGGCTGGCCCCATTGGTGGGTCATATATCTCTTGATATTACATGCATGCTTTGTCCTCTAGGAATGACATTTTTCAGCCTGCACTAAAGAAATTTGTTTGATGAGAAGAAAGTTGTTATTTCTAGTATGCTTTAAATTAAAGGGAGGAGATTCCAACGAGCATGGGAATTGAGCAAAGAGGAGCATCTTTAACTTTAAATGAAAAAAACTTTGGTCCAAGATGATGTGGAGTCAGTGCACTTTGGGCTCATGGATTGCATCTTAGTAACATTCCCTAAGAATATGATCAAGATTGATATATCAGTTCTTGTCATTTTATTTCAAATAGAGATCAGATTTCAACAGTGACATTGCATTTGTAATGAGATATTTTATTTTGCTTAGTTCAATTTATGTTGGGTGGCTTACCTACTATCTATCCTGTTAAGGTGATGTGTAGTCAAAATCTGTCTTGAAATACTAGAACTGTATTTTTCCTAGCTCATAAATGCATAGTTTTCTACTATTATTTAAGATTCTGGCATGGACACTTATGGTGGATAATCAACTGTCTATGCAACAGAAATCTGCTTATTAGCCAACTTTATTAACAACTCTCCCCTTCTACGATTGGGATATGGTTTACAAAACTCTTTACACTAATGTGCAGGAACGGACACAAATCTATTCTCACTTGATGCATTGGCTGTTTTCATTTTTTGTGTACTCTAATCATCCCATATTACTACGTGTCACTTCACACACAAGGGAGTAAATAAATTTATCTCTTGTATCTCTCTGCTATCTACTTAACCCCTTTATTTTGTTGTGTTAGGGAAATCTGGACAAGGCATCACCAATGCTGGATATGTTCTTCTAATGTTCTTCTAATGTTCTACCACCTCTATGAGGGCAAGGCACGCTATTGCTCTTCTGCTTCTGCATATGCATGAATTTAGATTAATCTTTATGGTCTTAACATGGCATTTCCTCTTTTTTTTTGTTTCAGAGTCATAGAGAATTTGAGAGCGGATTAGTTGAACACTTTGGTGCTCTAGTTAAGATGCCTTTGCTTAAGCCAGATAGGTAACATTGCTCTCAAGCATTGTTCTGAATTAACTTTCAAGGTAGAACTATTTGACATGGTCACACCTATGAAAATAAAATAATTCTGGACTATGAAGGTCTATCCCCTATGATGACTAATTAATTATTCTTTTATCCATGTATTGTTTTCTGTCAATACTAACAATTTCATGTGCTCATGACAGTAGTGCAGATGCTGCTCTATGGCAATTACTTAGACTTTATTTTCCCTTTTTATTATATTTTTCTTCGATTTTATGTTAAATGTGGAAACGAGAACATGTTTGTATCTAAGTTGTGTCCTAGCATGGCTCTATCGCATTTTTCCTCCTTGACTGGTCCTTATCACTGCTTGAGGTGATAGGTAGATTGAATGAGATCAACAGAAGAACTGTCCTTTTTTATTATTGTTGAAGATGGAGAAAAAACTGTGTCACAAAGGACAAAGGAGAGAATGGCAGAAACTACCTCAAAATTCATTTAACTCTAACCCCCATTTATAGGGTGTAACAATACACAACTTTTGGCAAAACACCCTCAACTAATTAACAATTTCTCAATGACCTAACACTTCCAACAATTATTATTAAATGTATCAAATTATTTCTATTATCTGGAGCCTTTCCTGTGCATTTGAATTGGCATTATTGTCAGCAGTCCAAATCTCACTTCCCTCGGGATGTAAAATAACTATGTTCTTGGCTGCATAGTGTTCAAGATTGGGTGTACTTGATAAGTCTTCATTATCATGAGTTAATAATTAGTAAATAATATAGTTTTAGCCTTAACTCATGATAAATAGACTTATATTTGTGTTAAAGAATGATTTTTGGTTTTCAATTGATTAACGTGAATTTTTGGGTAATTATGTGATTTTATACGATTTTTACAGTCTTACTTTTGAGATAAATGAAGAACAAGAAATAAAAATAAAAATATTGCAAAAATAGGGGGACCCGCCGGCCAGCCGTGCCTGCAAGCGGGTCGGAAGCACAGTCGGGGAGTAAATCGCGAGCAGGGGCTCGAGCGGCTTGGCTTGGGGACCGACAGGCACGCGTACGCCACTCCCCTTCCACATCACCGGTGGCCAGCCGGCTATGGGGCAAGGAGTGGTCATACACGCGAGAGAAGACACTTTGCTCACAAAGCTAACATTACTATATATTCGCCCGAAAAATCAGCGTACAACCGATGTGGGACTAAACCCCCGTCACACCTTCCTCAGAAGAGGCGGGCGACCCACACGGGTTCGAATCCTCCCAGAGTCAAAATTCATATATTTTTATCTGATTATCGCGACTTTCCTGCAGATCGCCGGTAAAAGATTAAGCAACGAGAATCGCTGGATCATCGGCGAAAATCTCGTCAACGCGATTCGCGGATCATTGCTACTAAAATTGCTGAACGATTCACGATAAAAGGATCGCGAATCCATCGAGTAAATCATCTCCGATTGATCGACGAACAAGCCGTCGTCGGGAAGAGGATGATCCGCCGGGAGACCAGTCGCCACCTCCTGAGAGCGTACCAGATGTGATGAAGAGCCTCCTCTTGCTGCGCAGACCTGAGGATGAAGCTCCCTGACACGCGCCCCACCTCCATCCAGCTCCTCTCTGTCGGGTGACAGCCGCCGGAGAGCCGCAAAGTCGCCGTTTTTCCGCTCCGCCAGGTGACAGCCGCCGGAGACGATTCGACGACCCACTTCATTGATCTCTAGACTTCGCGAGAAGATCTAGAGATTGCCCACGTTGTCTTTGTCCAAGGAGAGCCTTTGAGGCCGTGGACACTGCACGACGATCCTCCCGAGCGCTCAGGATTCCGGTGCATTGCTGACGCATCGCCGTCACGACGCCGGAACTCTGTTTTCCTGCTTTCAATTTAATTTACGCTTTATTTAGTGATACTTTTTGTGATTTTAATTTACCAAACTATACTTCGTTATATTAAGATTCTTCCAGCTTTTACAGATCTTAATTTGATTAATTAAGTCGTCTGTAATCGCTTACGTAAGAATCACCGGGCGGAACTCTGTTTCCGCCTGATTCGCGTTTGCCTGGCACTGACGTCATCCTGACGCCCGCACCCTTATTTCCTTTTTATTTCCTAGTATAAAATTCGTAAGAAAATCGTATTCATTGAGAAAAAATTCTGAATAATTACCAGATATTATATTACATCCCTGTGATCGACTTGGAAAATTACCGCTATTTTTGGAATTTTTATTAAATTATAATTGATATATTTATTTAGAAATACTTCTAAATATCTAAAAATTCGTATTTTCTAGTTTTATAAATTTTATATTTGCGTGATTTAATATACAATGACTGAGTCACGTCAGTACTCATCTGCATTCTTTCTTCTTTCGTTCTCTTTACTTGCTCAATTTGATATTTTAAGAGTCCTGTACCAGATTCTATCAAGTTTATCTTAGAAGAAGGTGTGTATCTTTACAAGCTCCATTCAAACAAGCATGGAAGGTAGCTTTACCCTTTCTCTCGTGCTAATATTGTTACTTGTGCTCGGGTAGCAGCATATTGTCACAAGGATTCATAGAGCATGCATCATCTCATATAAGAATTTAGGACTGTGAGTGTCCCTAGGACAGCTAACCAACAATATTGTCACATAGAAGATGCTCATCTGCTCATATCCTTTTGTTGAGGCCCTTTTTGATTTTGTCTTGGCATAATTCTCGACTGAGTGGTGGTAGAAGGTGGCTGAAAATATATGCATTTTCTTCAAACTTGCATGGTTGATTATTGAGCTCACTCAGCCTGCCTGCAGTGCCATAAACTGGTGAAAGAAAGCACCAGGGCAGTGACTTGTACAACTAGGGAGGCAGTCAGGCACGTAGACAAATAGATAGAGGCAGATCTTGACAAGTGAGTGCCCATGGTGGTGGTGTGGTTCAGGTCCCATTTGACAATGCCATCGAACAAGTTGTAGAGCAGCTGAAACCTGCTGTGAGGGGCGAGTATAGGCTGCCACCCATGCCTAGCACCAAGAAGAGGAAGTTTGGGAGCATCATCTTTGCCACCATCACCCTCCCCATGGCAAAGGTCACCCCTGCACTCTACAATTATGATTGTTTGAATATGATTCTTATATAATTAAGAACCAAAATAATATGAATACAAAATTTACTAAATTTTCATTATCCAAATAATAAAAAATAAAAGTAAAAAAAGCATAATCAAATTTACCAAATTGAGCTTGATTTTGCCTTGCCTTTTGCTTCCTACAAGACAATACTCAAATCACTAGGCATGATATACTATCAATCTAACCCAAATCAGCTAGGCACCAAATAAAGGCCCATACTAGTTGATTCAGCTGGTCAAACTCAAGTCAAGGGGTGACGTGACTTAGTCATTATATAATAAATCACGTAAATTTAAATATTTATAAAGCTAAAAAATACTAATTTGTTAAATATTTAAAAGTATTTAAAAATAAATATCAATTATAATTTAGTAAAATTTTTAAAAATAGTGAGAATTTTCAAGTCAATCATAGGGATATAATATATTATCAGGTAATATTTTAGAATTTTTAACAAAGAATATATTTTTTTATGATTTTTAGACTAAATAGTGAAAATAAAATATATTAAAAATTTACGAAAAAGTTAAATAAGAGTGCGGGCATTAGGATGATGTCACTGCCCTGACGAACATGAATCAAGTAGAAATAGAGTTCCACTCAATGATTCTTATGTAAGCAATTCTAGCTAATTTAATTGATTAAATTAAGATTTGTAAAATCTAGAAAAATTATAATTAAATGAAGAAGATTTTTAAAACTTTAAATCACACAAAATATCAATAAATTAAGTTAAAAATAAGTAGAAAGAAAGAAAAAGAAAGTTATAGCCTCGTGATAGTGATTCTCAGAAGTCTATGTATTTGAAAAGATTATTGAAAGAGATTCATAATTTCAAAGGCTCTCTTTGGACATGGACCACCTAAGTATTCATTAGATCTCCTTTCAAAGTCTAGAAAATGATGATAAAAATTTAAACTAGTTAAAAATAATAAAATAAAATTCAAGCATCGTGTTGGAGATGTATTGAAATCTTGAGCATTTAGGAGGACTATCGTACAATGTCCATGGCCTTAAAGGCTTTCCTTAAACACGAATGATATAAGCAATCTTTAGATCTTCTTGTGAAGTCTAGAAATGAATGAAGTAGGTTGATGAATCATCTCTAACAATTGTCACCTAGCAAAGCAAAAAAATAGTGACTTTGCGGACCTTTGATAACTATCACTTAATAAAAATAAGTTGGATGGATGGGAGGCATGTTTTATAAAGCTTTATCCTCAGGTCCATGTAGCAACAAGAGACTCTTTATCACATCTGGTATGCTCTCAAGAGGTAGCGACTCATCTCTCAAAGAATTGTCCTCTTCTAGACGATGACTTATTTGTTGATTAATTACAGATGATTTATTTAATGAATTTGTGATTCTTTTATCTAAAATTATTTGACAATTTTAGCAATGATGGTCCACAAACCGTATTGACCATATTTTCACCAAAGATTTTATGATGGCATAATTGTTGATGACAATCTGTAACAAATCATGATTTAATTAGACAAAAATATGAGTTTTGACTCTAATGAGATTCAAATCCTCGTCGATGATGTGAACTAGTTGTTGTATAATAAATCATGTAAATTTAAAATTTATAAAATTAGAAAATACTAATTTTTTGATTTTTAGAAATATTTTATGAAAAATGAATTAATTATAATTGGATTAAAGGTTCTAAAAATAGTGGAGAATTTCTAGATCAATCACATGGATGTAAGATAATACTAGATAATATTTCAATTTTTAAAAAAAGAATACAATTTTTTTATAATTTTTAAACTAAATAATTAATATAAAATATATTTAAAAAATCACAAAAAAGGAAAATAAAAGGTTGGACATCAATATGACATCAACATTTTGACAAACATGAATCAGACAGAAATAGAGTTCCACCCAATGATTCTTAGGTTCACGACTATAGATAATTTAATGAGTCAAATTAAGTTCTGTAAAAATCAGAAGAATCATAATTTAATGAAAAAGAGTTTCAAATCTTGAAATCACAAAAAGTATCAATAAATTAAGCAAATATTAAGTTGAAAATAGAGAAGACAAAGTTTTAGCCTCGTGACAACAACCACCAGAATTTTGTGCTCGAGTTGATTATTGTGTGATGCCTTCAACCTCAAGAGCTCTCCTTGGACATGGATGATTTGGGCATTCACTAGATCTTCTTTTGAAGTTTAAAAAATAATGGTAAAATTTAAACTAGTTAAAAAAGGTAAAATAGAGTTCCGATGTTATGGCGACGATGTATTAATGATGTGTTAAAATCCTAAGCATTCGAGAGGATTGTCATGCAATGCCTATAGTTTCAAAGGCTCTTCTTAAACAAATACTATGTAGACAATCTCTAGATCTTCTTGTGAAGTCTAGAAACCAATAAAGTGGGTCGTCAAATCATCTCTAGTGACTATCACCTAGTGGAATATTACTAATGAGGTTAAACTAAAATACCTATTATTTATAAGAACAAGATACCCTCAATACCTATTTTACTGATGAGGGTTTGAATCCTATTAGAGTCAAAACTCATATTTTTATCTAATTAAATTACAATTTTCTTCAAGATTACCAGCAAAAGGTTAAGCCACTAGAATCACTCAACTATCGACAAAAATCTCATCAACACGATTCGTAGAGCATTATTACTAAAATTGTTGAATGAATATGGATAAAAAGATCACAAATCCATCAAGTAAATCATTTTCAATTAATCAGCAAACAAGTCATCATTAGGAAGAGGACAATTCACTAAGAGATGAGTCACCACCTCCTAATGTGTTGAACTCACATTGACGAGCAAGGCTACCACCTTCTCTCTCCTCAATGCAACTGGTAAAAACATTAAGCTCATCACAACTAATTACATTTTTAATGGTCATTTCTTCAAATAGTCTATACCTTGTATGGAATGCGAAAAGAATTTTGTCAATAATATTCTATTAGTGACAAAATATAAGAAAAGTTAAGCTTGATAAACTTTGTTACATTCAATATCAATCCTAACATATTTGATAAGTCTTCATTATCATGAGTTAATAATTAGTAAATAATATAGTTTTAGCCTTAACTCATGATAAATAGACTTATATTTATGTTAAAGTATGAAAAGTGGTTTTCAATTGATTAATGTGATTTTTTAGGTAATTATGTGATTTTACAGAAATTTATATGATTTTTATAGTCTTTCTTTTGAGATAAATGAAGAAAAAGAAATAAAAAATAAAAATAAGACAAAATGAGGGGGACCCACCAGTTAGCCGGGCCCGCAACTGGGTCGGAAGCTCAATCGGGGAGTAGCCGCGAGTAGGGGCTCGAGTAACTTGGACTGATAGGGGCACGTGTATGCCACTCCCCTTTCACGTCACCAGTGGCCAGCCGATTGTGGGGCAAGGAGTGGCCATACACACGCGAGAAAGGGACTTGTTTACACATGTAACATTACTATATATTCGCCCGAAAATTTGGCACACAACCGATGTGGGACTAAACCCACATCACGTTCCTCATAAAGCGTGGGAAATCGGCATAGGTTTGAATCCTCCTAGAGCCAAAATTCATATTTTTTTATCTGATTATCACGACTTTCTTGCAGATTGCCAATGAAGGATTAAGCAACCAGAATTGCTAGATCATCGATGAAAATCTCATCAACACAATTTGCAGAGCATTGTTACTAAAATTACTGAATGATTTGCGATAAAAAGATCGCAAATCTATCGAGTAAACCATCTCTGATTGATCGACGAACAAGCCGTCGTCGGGAAGAGGATGATCTACTAAGAGACGAGTCACCACCTCTTGAGAGTGTACTAGATGTGATGAAGAGCCTCTTCTTGTTGTGCGGACCTGAGGATGAAACTCCTTGACACACGCCCCACCTCCATCCAGCTCCTCTCCATTGAGTGACAGTTGTTGGAGAACCGTAAAGTCGCCGTTTTTTTGTTTTGTCAAGTGATAGCTGTCGGAGATGATTCGATGACCCATTTTATTGATCTATAGACTTCGCAAGGAGATCTAGAGATTGCCCATGTCGTCTTTGTCCAAGAAAAGCCTTCAAGGCTGCAGACACTACATGATGATCCTCCCGAATGCTTAGAATTCCAGTGCATCGCTGACGCATTGCTGTTGCGACATCGGAACTCTATTTTCTTACTTTCAACTTAATTTTTGTTACATTTAGTGATAATTTGTTGATTTTAAATTTACCAATATATACTTTATTTTATTACATGTCTTAATTTCATCAATTAAATTGTCTTTAATTGCTTACGTAAGAACCGTCGGGCAGAACTCTATTTCTGTTCGATTCGCGTTTGCCAGGTGTTGACATCATCCTAATGTCTGCACCCTTATTTTCTTTTTCTGTAAATTTTAAATATATTTTCTTTTCATTTCATAATTTAAAATTCATAAAAAATATTATTCTTTACAGAAAATTCTAAATAGTTACTAGATATTATATTACATTCTTGTGATCGACTTGGAAAATTACCGCTATTTTTGAAAGTTTTATTAAATTATAATTGAAACATTTGTTTAGAAATACTTCTAAATATCTGAAAAATTATATTTTCTAGTTTT